TTTGACAATTATGAATAAAGTTACATTATACATCCATCTTCAGGTTTTTATGTTAACAAGTGTTTACCTCCTTGGGGGTGAATTCCAAGGTGCACGATTGCTGGGTCATATTGTATGAATATTTTTGTAAGAAATTGCAATACTGGGATCAGGGGGATAGCTCCTTTTCTAAAGTGCTTGTTGCACAAGCAGGAGGCCCCTACTCTGATCCTCAACCCACATAAAAATCCAGGTGTGATGGAGTGTGTTTGTAATCCAGCACTAGGAATGTGGAGACAGATGGCTCCCTGGGGTTTGTTGGCCAGTCAGTTTAGCATAATCTACAAGCTCCAGGCACCAATGAAAGGCCCTGTCTCAAAAAATAAGGTAGATGACTCCCAAGGAATGATAGCCAAGGCTGCCCTGTAGCTTCCACATGCATATCACATACCTGTACATACACACACACACACACACACATGCACACACACACACACACATACATGAACAAAAGAAAATGCCAAATTGTTCCCCAAGTTGACTATATAATTTTCACTTTCACTGACAGTGCATGAAAATTCCCGTTGTTTCATACCCTTGCATTTTGATGTTCAGTATGTCAGATTTGGCCATTCTAATAGGCATCAATGGCATCTCATTATTGTGTTTTTTCTCCAGTGGTATATGGTGTATGGCATTTCTATACCTCTACAGTGAAGTGTCTTTTTAATGATGTTGGCTTATTTTTAATTGAGTTTTTTCTTATTGTTGGGCTTTAAAAGTTGTCCCTATATTTTGAATAACAGTGTAATATGAAATATGTCTTATGTCAAGCTTTTCTCAGTTACACCTTGTCATTTACCTTGACAGGGTCTATCTGAAATTTCTCTTATTCCCTGCTTCTTTCATGGATTGTATGGAGAAAATCATCATCAAAATCAAGGTCATCTATGGGAGCTGGGGAGATAGATCAGCTGGTGAATTGATTGCCACACAAGCATGAGAACCAAAGTTCAGATCCCCAGTGTCCACTCAAGAGCCAGTCACACAGATCCCTGGGATCATTGTCCAGTCAGTCAAATTGATGAGAGACTCTGTCTCAAAAAACACTGCGCAAAATGATCACGGAAAACACCTGATGTTGCCCTCTGACTTCCACATGAATATACATGCACCCACACTCACACACGTGCACACACACAGCAAGGTCATCTGGGATTCATTACATCACATTTATATCTGGTGTGTTTTGTGTCAATTTTTGAGGAAAGTAAATATTTTTTTAGATGATTTTTTAATGTGGATATTCAACTATTCTAGTATCATTTTTTAAAAAAAGACTATATTTTCTCCATTGTCTTTGCTCCTTTGTCAAAGATCAGTTGACTATGTAGCTCTATTTCTGGCCTCTATTCTGCCCAATGTATCTATTTGTGTATTCTTTTGCCAATACTATACTACTGTGTTTCTTTGATTACTCTAACTTCCTGATAGAGCTTGAAGTTAAGTACTATCAGTCCTTCAACTTGTGTTGGTTAGTCTGGGACATTTATCCATGCATGTCAACTTTAGAATCAGCTCGTTCAAATCCACTGGGTCTTTTAAATTAAAGTTGAGGCAAGGCAGGCAGATCTCTGTGAATTCAAGTCCAGCCTGGTCTACATAGTGAGTTCCAGGACAGCTGGGGCTACAGGGAGACCCTGTCTCAAAAAGACCAAAAAAAGAAAAAAATTAAAGTTGCATTGAATTTATAGATGAATTTTTAAGTGTCTGGTATCTTGACAATTTCAACTCTTCTTATCCATGAAGATGGATTGTCTTTTCACTTATAATGATCTTTCATTTGTCTTACCAGTGTAACTGAACCCTGGGAGAATGAAACACTGCAGCATCCCAGTCTCTGTGAGGCCAAGTGGCCGCCGCAAGGGCACTGCTGGCAGAGAACAATTGCCTCTTAGGCTATGGGGGTTAGGGAGCAGACCAGTGATGACTCTACTCCCTGGAGAGAGGGATGTCCAGCAACTCAGAGTCTAGGAGGCTAGTCCAGTCCTAGAAAGGTTGGAGACTAGATTGTAGGACAGGAGGTCTCAGCTCAGCCAATGCTCTACACTCTAGAATGCAGGAAGCCACACCAGTTTAGCTCTGGGGTGGATAACTGCTTAGACTTGTCATGGTACTGATTACCTAGGAGGCAGTGTGTCACCTAGGGTTGTGTGGTCAAGGCTCTGGTACTGTTACTGTATTTTCCTGAACTCATGTTTCACTACTTGTTGCCCTTGGGAAAATTTCCAGATACTTTAAATGTTTTTTTTTTTTAAGAAGTTTTTTTTTTTCTTTTTAAACACTTATGCCTATTTTTCTGAGGGGAAGGTTCACAAAGTTCCTCATGTCATCCAGCATGTCATCCAAGTGAAACCCTCTAGATCTTTACTTCATTAAATCCTAAACTTTTTAATTTAAGGGTACTTTAGGATTATTATATCACTTTCATGTTTTCTCAAATGCATTTTCTTCCCACATTTTAATTCAAGGAGAGGCTACTGATTTTGGTTTTTTTTTCTCTTGTATTTGGGGATGTTAGTTTGAAAGTCCACCTTTACTGGAAGGCTATATCATGCCCTTTGCAGTCCAGGTTCTGTGAGTTTCGCTAGTAGATCTTTCCAAGCGCTCTATTTCACAACTGTCTTCCCCTGGGAGTTTCTGCCTAACAGTGACAGCAGACAGCTTGCAGATCTGGTCAGTGATTCAGGGGGTATTTTTGTTGGGTCCTGATTCTAAGGCTGTACTTCCTCCTGTCTCTTGGGTATGCACTTTCTATAATTATAATCATAATTATGCACTTAGCACGTCTTTTAAAATAAAAACCTTTCCTAAGTGCAAAACTTTTACCCTGCCCACTGATTCAACCTCAATTATAGCTCTGTTTTCTCCCTTACGTAGGCACTTTTAGGCCCCGTTACACAATATCTTCTTTAAATTGTCACTATTTTATATTTCTGTCCTTTGCCTGGTCCATTGATATATTTACCTTTTTTGTACATGTAGGCATATGTGTCTATTTGTGTGCATATCCATATTATTAAACGTGATCAAAGTGAATAGGTGTTTTTAAGAATGTCAGACTTGCAGAAACACTAACAGACATTGGGGTAAAACTTTCACTTAAGATGTGACTTCACACAACCTTTTTAAATATCCCTGCAAATCAGCACACCAAACTTTATGTAATGGTATATTTTTGTATTTTCCTTTATATTTATTTTTTTTAAATATTTTACTTATTATTTTTATTTTATGTGTATGAGTGTATTGCCTGTGTGTATGTGAGTGCACCTGTGTCGTGCAATGCCCACAGAGGTCAGAAAAGGGCTTTGGATTTCCCTGGAACTGGAGTTACAGATGGTTGTTAGCTGCCAGGTGGGTGCTGGGAATCAAATCTGGGTCCTCTGCAAGAGCAGCCAGTGCTGTTAACCACTGAGCCATCTCTCCAGCACCCTTTATACTTTTTTGTTTCTATATGTCTTCGTTTCTTTGCCTGTTGCTGTAATAAAATATTCTGACAAAAGCACTTAAGGGACAAAGGGTTTATTTTAGCTCACAGTTCAAGGCACAGTTCACTACGGTAGGGAAGTCAAGGGAGCAGGAGCTTGAAGCAACTGGTCACGTCATGTTCACAATCTAGAAACAGAGGGATGAAGGCATGCTGCTGCTCAGCTCCCTTTCTTCACTTACACAGTCCAGGAGCCCAACCAGGGAATGGTGCCACCCACAGTGTACAGGTCTTCTCTTCTCATTGATGCAATCAAGGTAATTCCCCTAAAGGCATGCCAGAAGCCCATCTCCCAGGTGAGCCTAGAATCTGTCAAAATGACAATTAACACCTGCCATCATGCTCTATCGCTAAGGAAACCCTCTGTATTACAAAGGATAAAAAAAACTGTGCGTGCCTTTAATCCTAGCACTTGGGAGGCAGAGGCAGGTAGATCTCTGTGAGTTCGAGGCCAGCCTGGTCTACATACTGAGTTCCAGGACAGCTGGGGCTATAGGGAGACCCTATCTCAAAAAGACAAAACAAACAAACAAAAAACTATTTTCCAATGTTTTCTTCTAATCTTCTTACTCATTTCTGTTTATATCAGATAGTTGTGAATTTAACTTTGCTGCAGTATGCTAATGCATACCAGTGCCATTTATTAATTTGTTATTTAGCTATTGATTGAAATGACACAATTTAAAATATATTAAGTCCCCAGATTGGGACTGGAGAGATGGCTGGATTGGTAAAGTGCTTGCAGCACAAGCATGAGAACTTAAGCACCCATGTAAAGGATCCTCAGTACCCATGTAAAAATAAAACAAAACCAAAAACAGGCATGGTACTATGTACACGTAATCCCAGCGCCAGGGAGACAGAGACAGGCAGATCCCTGCAACTTGCAGGCTGACCAGTCTAGCCAAGTGGTGAGCTCTAGGTTCAGTGAGAGACCCTGTCTCAAAAATAGGTAGAGACTGATTCAGGAAAACTCCTAATGTTGAACACACACACACACACACACACACACACACACACACACACCTCAGATACATTTCACCTCTGCATTATCTGATGAGTCTTATTTTGTTTTGTTTTGTTTTTTTGAGATAGGGTCTCCCTGTAGCCTCAGCTGGCCTGGAACTCGCTATATAGACCAGGCTGGCCTCAGTCTCACAGAGACCTGCCTCCCTCTGCCTCCTGAGTGCCAGGATTAAAGATGTGCACCATGGTGCCCGACTTACCTGGTAAGTCTTATATCAGAACCACACTTTCTTGATTTTGTAACTTTGCGGTTTCAATCTCTGTTCTGTTTAATGTTTTCCCAGAATAATTTCATGTTGAGTTTTTCCAGGAGCAATGTTTAACAAAAAAGCAATATCACAGAATAGTCTCACAACAAATGGGGAAACCAAATTCAAACTTGTTTCATCTCAAGTGAGTCGTGCAGAGGGGATTATTAATTCCACTCTGGGCTTCTATGTGTCAGGTCTGTGACCTCCATCAAGAGACCAAGGCGCCCACCAGCCCAGATGATCAAGGTGTGGAAATTGATGTGTTTTCTGATGATGACACCTATTTAACCATACAGAGTTTCAGAAAGGTAATATTCCCAGGGTATGGTCAGAAGGAGCACGTGACTCATCCACACAGCTTCTCCAGAATAGCCATTGTGGGACAATACCAGAATCAATGGAGAAACAATTGCCAAGGTTGAATTTTAAACAAAGGTCATGGTGTCCCAGTTTTGGTATGCTGACATTTGGGGCAAAACAGTTCATTGTTGTGGTGGGTTTTCCTTTGATTTATAGGGTGCTTAGTAGCATCCTTGGCCTCTACCCACTAGATACTAGTAGTATTTATCCTAAGTTGTCTTCTACTTCTATGACAGAACACTCTACCCAAAGCCAACTTTGTAAGCAAAGGATTTATTTCATCTTACAATTCTCAGGTCACAGTCAAACACTGAGGGAAGTCAGGGGAGGAACTCAAGGCAGGAATGTGGAGATGAGCTTAGGCAGAGACCACTGAGGATTGCTGCTTACTGGCTTGTTCCTTTGGCCTGTGCTCAGCCTGCTTTCTTATATAACCTAGGACCACCTGCCCAGGGGTCGCACCACTCACAATAGACTGGGCCCTCCCACACCACTCAACAATAAAAAAAATGCCTCTCAGACACGCTTACAGGCCAATCCAATAGAGGAAATTCCCCAAGTGAGGTTCCCCCTTTCCAGGTGTGTCAAGTTGACAACCAAAGTAAACTATGACTGTATCCCATTAACTGTGATCTTTAAAAATGTCTCTAGTGTTGGAGAGATGGCTCAGTTTGTAAATTTCCTGCCTTGCAAGTACAAGTACTCTGAGTTCAATCCCCAGAGCCCATATGAAGAAGCTGGGCATGGTGGCCTGCACTTTTAATTCCAGCACTAGGAAGCCAAAGACAGGAAGATCCCCAAGGCTCAGTAGCAGCCAGCCTAGCCTACTTAGTGAGCTCTGGACCAACGAGAGACTCTGTCTCAAAAAACAAGATGGATGGATCCTGAGGAATGACACCCGAGACTGTGCTCTGGGCTCCACATGCACACACATGTTCACCTGCATACACTGGAATACACAGACATGAAAACATATACACACACTCAAATATTAATTTAAAAATGTCTCTCGACATTGCTAGAATGTCTCCTGCAAGGTCAAATCAGACAGTGCCACTGTTCTAGGACCATTATTCCCATGAGTTGTAGTAGTTAAAAATTATAGACTCGGTAGAACAGAGTTCTTATCGTCTGTCCCCCTAATTGGGGTTAGGCAGCCTATTGGGTTATGATTGTAGGGAGGGAAGGGTTGAGTACTGTGTCCACATATACCTTGCTGCTCCATTGCTGGGAAGGCAAGCACATTATCTCCTGAAGTGAGCCAGACAGAGAACTTAGAACTTACAACCGGAGTGCATTATTAACAGCCCTCACATCGACAAGTCTTTGCCTAGTTGGTTTTATCCCAAATGAATCACACAATTATACAGTGGAATTATACAATGCTACAGTGACTGCCTGGGTGTTTGCCTTTGCCTGTCCTCTGTTCTGATGTGCAGAAGTCTGATGCTGCAAGTGTGCTCTCAGAATGCAGCACGATTGACCTGCAGGACATCTTCAGGCATTTACAGAGAACGGTCCCACAAAAGAAGCAGCCAGAGAGATGCTTGCCTAAAGGTAAGTGCATATTCTCACATAGACTCTAGGAGCCTTTGAATGGGATTTGTGTTCTTTGTAGTTTCACGGTTTGGGTGGATACCGTCTTTCTGTTTCTACTAGAGACAAAAGCAAAGAGAGAGTATTTAGGGAATTCTGGATTATCAGATTCTGGTAGAAAGAATTTCAGGAAATTCTTAATTTAAGTAGGCTCCATTCATGTAGCCCAACAGAGTGAACGTTTACTCTAAGAAGCTTTGCTGGAGAGCTATTGGGCCAACATGTTGGCCACTTTGTAGAGTCCCTGGTACATTTATTGTCAAAATAGATCAAGAGGAGATAAGGCATGAAGGTGATGTGGTCATGCTAAAGGCTGCACATGTTGAGAACTAAGGCTTAGCTATTGGTAAACCTCTTGCTGATTGATCAAATTCCTTCCCGTGTGGCTTAAGTGGTCCATAAAACCTTTAGAAAGCCTTACCTCACTTCATCTTTAGAATAATTTACATTTATTTATTTGGTGTGTGGGGTGTGTGTGTGTGTGTGTGTGTGTGTGTGTGTGTGTGTGTGTTGAGGGTGGCCCGCATGTGCCATGGCATGCATGTGGGGGGCAAAGGTTCTCTCATTCCACAATGTTCTAGGGACTGAACTCAGATGGTCAGGCTGAAGCCAGGTGCCCTCATCTGATGAGCCATTTTGCTAGCCCCTTGCCTCATTTCTTGAAGCCCTTTGGACATTATGGACCCTACACATTATACATATCCCCCCATACCCAAAAATAATTGCATAGTTGACAGCCACAAATCCTTGGTGACATACAGTGGTGAACAGACTCTCGCCTGATTCAGCTGATCTGGGCTGAGTGTCTCTGCTGAAGTTGGAGAGTGTTGCTCATGTTAGTGGGATCAGTGGATCTAGCCTGTGCTCAACTATATAACTTGGCTCTGCTCCACGTGGTTCACTTTTCTCCCAGAACCAATAGACTAGCCTACAGACACCTTCCTTAAAGAGATGGTACAAGAGGGCAAGAGGAAGCAGGCAAGGCTCAGTCCTGGCACACTGTGACTTCTGCTCTATCCTTTTGCCCAAAGCAAGTCACATAGCTGAGACTCAATGGTCTGGAAAGAAACCACCTCTTTAATGAGAGAAGCTGTAGTTCATAGGCAAGGGACATGATGAAGGTAGGGAGCTGGGCCACTACTGCAATTTACCATAGACACTGACACTACTGATGCTTCCTTTCAGGCATCAGTTGTCGCTTTCTCTGCCAAAAGTGGGACAGGAAAAAGTCCCCCTGGGCCATTTGGTGGAATTTGCGGAAAACCTGTTACCAAATCGTGAAGCACAGCTGGTTTGAGAGCTTCATCATCTTTGTGATCCTGCTGAGCAGTGGGGCACTGGTAAATTATGCTCTTGGGGGAAGTTAGGGGGCACTGCATCATGTGAATATGGAGAGACCACACAGAAGTGGCGTCTTTACTGGTGGTCTCCTTAGTGAGTAGAGTTTTAGCGTTTCACACAACTTCTATAGTCATATTCCAACTGGAAAATTCCCAAGCCAACGATGCTGCGGGGCGAGGCTGACTCAGATCAACATTTGAAAGCTAATGTCTAGCCCTTGCACTTGGCCTGCCTGTCTGGTCCTCATTCTGGAAGGTTCCTAGACACTCCCATTGTACCCTATGGACTTCCTCCTCCAGGAAGTTCCTACTCTTCTTCCTAAAGATCACCTATTGCTTTCTAAGACAAGCTATTAGGAGAAAGGGCTACAGAGACCAGATCAGGGTGTAACCAGCCCTGCTGGTGCTTCCATCACTCATGACTCCTTAAGGGACAAGGAGATGCTGCTTTATGTTCATGGCTTTCCCAGGTTAGGGTGTGGTGTGAGTCCCAGCAAAGCTGAAGATAACTGAGTCGTTTTCCCTCCGTAGCCACTTACACAGTCCAGGATCCCCTGCAGAGGGAATGGTGCCACCCATCGTGGATTGGGTTTTCCCATACCAATTAATATAATCAAGACAATCCTCCAGAGACATGCCCACAGAGCAGCCTGATCTAGACAATCCTTTACTGAAACTCTCTTCCCAGGTGATTGTAGAATGTGTCAAGTTGACAATTAAAACTAACCATTAGCTGGGCATGGTGGCCCAGCACTTGGGAGGCAGAGGCCAGCCTAGTCTACATAGTGAGTTCCAGGCCAGCTGAGGCTACAGGGAGACCCTAAAAAAACCTAACCATGACAGGGAGGAAGTTTACTTTGGTTCACAGTTTGAGGTGTAGTCTGTCATGGCAGGGGAATCATGATGACAGGAAGATGAGGTGGCTGGTCACATTGTATCCACAGTCAGGAAGCAGAGGGAGATGGACACTGCTGCTCAGCTTGCTTTCTCTTTTTTATTCAGTCCCAGGACCCAAATCCATGGAATGGTGTGACCCACAGTTAGGGAAGGTCTTCCCACATCAGTCAACCTAATCTAGAAATTCTCTCAAAAACATGCCCACAGGTTTGTCTCCTAGGTGATTCTAGAGGCTGTCAGGTTGACAATATTAGCCATCAGAGGAGGCTAATGAGGCGAGGCTATGGAACCTTTGAGATAACATGTATAGAAAGAGGACTTTTCCATTTTCATTTAATTCAGGAATTGATTCCATTGGAAAAGTTCAGCCTTAATACCCTTTGAGCAAAACTTCATCACCAAGACACAAACTAGTTTTTATGCACATAAAATTTAAAAGTCAGTAGGGTGTTCTTTGCAAATATTCAGCCTGGCTTATGGTTATACTTTTTCCTTCCAGATATTTGAAGATGTTTATCTTCCTAGTCGGACTCATATCAAAAACTTACTAAACTGTACTGACAACATTTTCACCTTCATTTTCATTCTGGAGATGATTCTGAAATGGGTGGCCTTCGGATTTAGGAAGTATTTCACCAGTGCCTGGTGCTGGCTTGATTTCTTCATTGTAATTGTAAGTTGACTGTCTCTGTGTTCTATTTAGGTTGGGACAGCACATGGGAGAAGGGGCACAAGGGGGCTGCTTTTCCTATGGTCTTCAGATCAGTGCCTCTCCCACATATTTCTCTCATTAGTGCATCCTCAGTACTTACATCTCGTCATCACTCATCCACCTGCAGTGCAGCCTTTGTCCTGCCTTCATGCAGTTCATCTGCTCACCACCCCAACCTTCACAGTGGCACCCACCTACCTCTCTCCAGGAGCCCAGCTTTTGTCTGATGCACATCTAGGGAAACTGAACATCCTCTGTGCTCCCTTCTCCTTCCTGTTTTCCAGTTCTCTTTTTCCATGACTGGTGTACATGCGTGCATATACATGTCCATTTCTACTGCCATAGACCTACATAGCCCTAAATTGTCTTGCTTCAATTCCCATGGCTATCAGGGGCAAAGCCCAAGAGGGCATCATGTTCTGTCTGGAGGAAAAAGCTTCATATGATGACCACATCCTCTGCTATAAGCTCCATGTGTGCTTTCCTTTAGTTGTTATAGCCACTCTTTGTGGTAGGTATTTTATTTTCCCTGTATTCAGAGGAAGAAAATAAGACAGAAAGGCTGAGAAACACATTCAAGACTGCCCAGCAAGAAATGATAGAGATGAGATTCAAACCTAGTAAGTCCTACTCCAGAGAGCCCAGGATTCTTAACATGTATATTCTACCATTCTATAGAATTTCTTTTGATCTAAGAAAGCAGGTGGGAGATTGGAGAGATGGTTCAGTTGGCATCAGTGGTTCAGTGTTTGCCACACATACATGGAGACCCAACACGCACATGAAAAAGCCAGGGGCAGTGGTCCATTCCTATCATCCCAGCATTGGAGCGGTGGAGACAGGAGGATCCGGGGGGGACCACTGGCCAGCCAGTCTAGCCAGATTAGTGAGTTCCAGATTCAATGAGATACTTTATTTAAAAAAAAATCAGGTGGAAAGCAATTGAAGAAAACACTTGACATTGACTTCTGGTCTCCACACACATGTATACATGTGCACATACACCTGAAGACATACATACCCACACAACAAACATGAAAATTATAAATAGCTTAAACTGAGCAAACTCAAAATAGATACTATGACTCTAGCAATAATCCCTAAAAATATCAAAGTAGTAGCTTAAGGCCACACTGTCAAAAATATCACCAGGCTCAGATGGTTTTACAGGCAAGGAGCAGATATCCCCAACATTGTTCAAATTATTGCAAAGACTAGAAAATGAGGAAAACTTGAAAACTGTTCAAAGGAGACAAGTATAAGCTTTATTTGTCTGCTTCTTTTTGGAGACAAGGTCTCATGTATCCCAGGCTGGCTTCAAATGCACTATGTAGCTAAGGATGACCCTGAAACCCCGATCCTCTTGCCTCTACCTCCCAAGTGCTGGCATGATTATGGGTGTCCACCACCACGCTCAACTTCAGACAAGTACAGTCTTTTTAAAAATTTTATTTTTATTTTATGTGTATCAGTGTTTGTGTGCCTGTATGTATGTGTACCATGTGCATGGAATGCACATGGTGGCCAGAAAGCCTGTTGTCTACCTTCCATCTCAGCTCATATCACTGGGGCTGCAGGCGTGTACCCCTCACACCTGGCTTTTTATGTGGGTTCTGGAGATCTGAACTCAGATGCTCATGCTTGGGAGGCAAGCACTCTACTGAGCATCTCCCCAGCCTGAAATAAAAACATTTTCAAGTTGATTGCAAATTTTTATCTTATGATCTGCCACATTCACTCAGTTTTTCTTAATTTGTAAGTATGTTACTAGGAAAGTGGCAATGTTTTGGGGTATCAGTGACTTCTGGTATGAGGCTTATCAGCAACCTCATAACTCTTCCTGGCAGGCTGAACAAGTCCTCTCCCCAGACAAACTTCCGAAGACTCAAAGACTATCAAGAGTGATTAAAGGGCTATAAGCCATGGTCTTCAGCTTCATCTCAGCATAACATTAAGCTTCCACACAGTTCACTCAGCAGCTTTCCAACCCTCTGTTCTCTACTAGGGAGAAGCATTTGGGAAAGACAAACACTTTATTTCCCAAAAAGGACCATAGGGTGGTCTCACGTATCCCAGGCTGCTCTCAAACTTTCTATACAGTCAATGAGGACCTTGAACTTCATCCTCCAGCCTCCACTTCCTGAGTGCTGGGATTGTAGGAATGTGCCACCACGCCTGGTTTTATGTAGAACTGGGGTTTATGTATGCTAGGTGAGCACTCTAACAACTGAGTTACATCTCCAATCCAAATGGAGCCAAAGAATAAGGAAAGATACCCACAAATTTACCTTTTTCTTATTTATTTATTTATTTATTTTTCGAGGCATGGTTTTTATGTAGGTCTGGCTGGCCTGGAACACTCTATGTAGACCAGGCTTACCTCGAACTCATAGAGCTCTGCCTGCTTCTTCCTCCTGAGTGCTGGGATTAAAGGTATGCACCACCATATCCAACTTTAAATTCTTGTTTCTGGGGCTGGAGAGATGGCTCAGCTGTTAAGAGCACTGACTACTCTTGTAGAGGACCGGGGTTCAATTCCCAGCACCCACATGGTGGCTAACAACCATCCATAACTCCAGTTCCTGGGGAATCCAACACCTTCTTCTGACCTCTGTGGGCATTGCACAACACGGGTGCACTTACACACGTGCAGGCAATACACTCATACACATAAAAATGATAATAATAAATAAAGTATTTAAATTTTTATTTCTTTTATTTACAGAGAAGCTGCAGGGAGCAGGATTCAGGATCTCTCTTCCTCTTCCTCTAACTAGTGACATGTCATCATCCCCTTGTCATTCTTTCTCACTGTTTCTTTCTAAATTGCTTAAGACTAAATCATAAGTATCAAGGCCCTGGCATGTCAATCATGTACTTCCCACCAAAGACATTGTCTCCCACAATCACAATACAAAGATCAAAGTTATTAGGTTGAATATGGATTCCACACTAACACCCATGTCCATTTTTTCAGTGTGACAACAAGCTTCTTTTAAAAAGAAAAGATTTATTTTTATTTATTTATTTATGTATGTGTGTGTGTGTGTGTGTGTATGTGTGTCTGGGTCAGTTTGTACATGTGAATGCAGTGCCCACAGAATCCAGAAGAGAGCATCAGAACCCCTGGAGCTGGTGTCACAGGCGGTTGTGAGCTGCCTGACGTGGGTGCTGGGAACCAAACTTGGGTCCTCTGTGAGAGCAACAATCACTATTAACCACTAAGTCATGCCTCTGGCCCCTGTAACAAGCTTCTTTATGATGAAATCTGTCTAGCCATTTATCCCATGCTCCTGCCCCCATCCAGAATCTGATTTACCATCTCATTCCAGGTACTGTTTCCCAGGTACTGTCTTTTGTGGAATGGATGACATAAGAACGCCATGCTCACTTTTATGGACTGTGGCTTTGCCAAGAAAGGAGAAAGGGGGACTCTCTTCATTTGTATTTTGCCCTTCTAAGCAAGATCTGACTTGCTCTACATCTTAGATAGAGGGCTCTCAATGGGGCTGGAGAGATGGCTCAGCCAGTAACATGCTTGCAATGCAAGCATTAGGACCTGAGTTTGGATCCCTGATGTCCATATAAAAAACCATGCACAGCAACACACAGCTGTGATCCCAGCTCTGGGGAGGTGGAGACAGGAGGATCCCGAGGCTCATTGGCCAGCCAGTCTAGTCAAACTGGTGAGCTCCAGGTTCAGTGAGAGACCTTGTCTCAAAAAATAAGGTGTAGAGTGATTGAGAAAAACATCTCAAGTTTATCTTTGGCCTACACAAGCAGGCACACACCTGGGTACCCCCACACGTGCCCACACACAAACACACATACACAATATACACTAAAAAATGAAAGAGAAAAGTGGTCCCTCAAGCCCTCACTGTGGCCCTGGCAGCCAGGCAGCTTTCCTCACCAAGTCATCTTCTCCCACAGGTGTCTGTTGTCAGTCTCTTGAATCTAAAGAGCTTGAAGTCCTTCCGCACTCTGCGAGCACTGAGGCCTCTGCGGGCACTGTCTCAGTTTGAAGGAATGAAGGTACGTGCCCAGGTGGATGGGTAGAAATTCAGCTAACAGGGGAAGACAGAGAGGCCAACTGTCTTGGGGCCTTTCCTCAAACCACTAAGCCTTTACTGGGGTTCTACCCACCCAGCTCAGTGCCCAGACTATGGGAAACAGAGAAAAGTCTGTTATATGGTTTCACTCTTGACAGCCAAGGTGGGCTCTAGCTGCCTGTCACAATCTTAGGGCAGACATATCCTCTATGTGTCTAACAGCTTCACTTCAGGACACTTCCACCATTGTCCTTGGTGGAGATAAGAACTGAAAGCAATGCTTGTCCCTGGGTGGGGAAGGGGCGTTTAGAGCAAAACCAGACAAAATCCAGTGGTCCAGTCATGCATATCAGGTCCCCTCTGGGAAGATGGAGAGCTTGTTGGGTTCCCTCTGTCTGCTTTACTTTCCTCTGTCTTGCTTCCCTAAGGTGGTGGTGAATGCTCTCATCAGTGCCATACCTGCCATTCTGAACGTCTTGCTGGTCTGTCTCATTTTCTGGCTCATATTTTGCATCCTGGGAGTATATTTATTTTCTGGAAAGTTTGGAAGATGTGTTAATGGGACAGATATAAATAAATATATGAATCATACCATCATTTCAAACAAAAACCAATGTGAATTTAGCAATTATTCCTGGAAAACCCCAAGCGTCAACTTTGACAACGTGGGGAATGCTTACCTTGCTCTGCTACAAGTGGTAAGTGCGGTCAGCCTTTGCCTCACTCTGAGAAGAGAAAACTTGTGAACATGGTCAGTCATTTCTTGGTTAATAAAGATATAGTAACTCCATTAAGATAATGCATTCAGTCCTCATTATTCCTGTTGTGGACCAGTGTCTTTGGGAATTGATCTTTACTGAGTATTTCCAACTTAGTTATTTTTCTCATTGCTATGACAAAATACCTGATACATTAGTTACTTTTCTGTTGCTGCTATAAAATACCCTACTAAAAAGCATGTTAGAGAAGAAAGGGTTTATTTTAGCTTACAGTTCCAGGGGAGAGGGGAATACAGTCCATCATATCATGGTGGGGAAGCATGGCAACAGGCAGGCATGATGGCCAGAGCAGGACCACATTTCATCCACATACAGAAAGGAGAGAGGCAGGAATAGGGAGGTGACGGGGAGGAGTAGAGGCATAGAGAAACAGGACATGGGACCAGGCTATGAACCCCAAAACCCTCTGGTAGTAACGTACTTCCCCCAGCAAGGCTCTACCTCCTAAAGATTCCTAACCTTCCCAAACATCGCCACCATCTGGAGACCAAGTGTTCAAATACACGAGTCTCTGTGGGGCCATTTCTCATTTAAACCACAACACCTGACTAAAGCAATTTAAGGAAAGTTAATGGGTTCCTGGTTTCAGTGCACAGGCCATCGTGGTGGGGAAGTCACGGGCCATTTCTCATTTAAACCACAACACCTGACTAAAGCAATTTAAGGAAAGTTTATTTGGGTTCCTGGTTTCAGTGCACAGGCCATCGTGGTGGGGAAGTCACGAAGGCAGCAGGAACACAAGGCAACTGGCCACACTGGGTCTGCAGTCAGGAAGTGGACAGGAAGAGATCATTCTGCTGTTCACCTCACTTTTCCCTTTCTAGTCAGTTTGCGATTTTCCTTGTCCATGGGACGGTGCCACCTACATCTAGAATGAGTTTTCTTAGTTACCCCCGCCCCTCCAAACACCTTCACAGACATGCCCAGATGTGTCTCCTAGGTGATTCCAAACCCAGTCAAACTGACAGAGAAGACTGACCATCACACATAGTAATACCCCTTTAAGGATGTGCTCATCTTGCCCCCTGTGCTACTTTGTTATTCAGAGTGCCTGCCAGAGGGACCCTCTGTGCAGGTCATGACATTGTGGACAGTTCCCTTTTCAAGCCACAGGAGCTAGGTCTTGGACAGGTAATACAAACCATGTGTTATCAGGAAAGAACCTTACCAGGCTCTTCCCAGTAACTGGGCCATAGCCTCTCTCATAACCTGTAGTTAGAAATTTATTTTGTTTTTAAATGATTAGTCTCGGTTGAATGAAAAAGAAGGTATGCAAGTCATCTATCCTCAAGTTCCCTCCTTCTGTTCTTTTGTGTGTACCTTTAGTCCTGACAAATATGCACCTCCTCACAGGACCTGGAAAGTTTTTGCATGGCATGTGTCTGTCGATGGCAAGCCTACAGTTGCATCCCTGTTTTTCTGCTTCTGTTTTAGGCAACATATAAAGGCTGGCTGGAGATTATGAATGCAGCTGTTGATTCCACAGAGGTGAGTTGATGCTTCACTGTATTCTAGAATGTTACTATCCAACCAGAGATATTGTGAGTTCATGGACAGCCCCAAACTTCCTGTACCACAGCTCCAGAATCCCGGGTTCTCTGCCTTGATCTTCTTCTGGTGGCAAAATTATGATACAATCATTGCCTGATAAAAAGTGTTCTAATTTGTTCTTCAGTGAAGTCTAACACCCCAGTATTGTCTAAAGTCCAGTCTTCTCTCTGCATGGTCAACATAAAAATATCCATCCATTTAGAAGATGGAACCGGAGCAAGAGACTCACAGGGTACCCTGATTTCCCTCTAGTTCATCTCTAAATGATGGACAAGAAGCTCCCTTTCAAAGTCCACTTGCCTTAACTGTTGGAAAGTATTAAGTCTGTACTAAATCTGTGCAAGAGAGAAACTTCCCACAGTTTGGGTTCCTTGGAGAGTAGCGGAGATGCTAGTGACCACCAACTATAGAATTCCAGTTAAAGAAAAAGTAAACATAGATTTCCAAAGTTGGAACTTCACTTGACGGTTTAACCTGTTTTCTACTTCCCATTTGGTTCAATTGAGGAATAGAAAGGAATGGTGTTGCTTACATCCTTAACATCAGTAGATGGGGAACTCAAGAATGAAATCAAAGCTGGGTATGGTGGCACATGCCTTTAATCTCAGCTCTTGGGAGGCAGAGACAGGCAGATCTCTGTGAGTTCACGGCCTGGTCTATATAGCTAGTTCCAGGCCAGCCAGGGCTACATAGTGAGATGCTGACTCAAAACAAAAAATGGAATCAGTGGGGGGAAAGGCTTTTTTTCCTCATCATGATATGTGTGGTCATTATATCTGAGAGTCTACAGAGTTAATGCCTGAGACATAGTGAGGGCTACAGATGGGTGGGTTGGGAACAGCAGAGTTGGTCTAGTAGGGCACAGCAGCGCTGAAAAATGAGAGTCTCCATGGTCACCCGAGTTCTTGCCACAATCCACAGATGGGCATTTATATGTAGCTAATGCATAGCAACAAATCACTTTGCTTAATTCTCAGTGCATCAATAAAATCTGCTTTCTCAAAAGCCAAAGCTAATAGTAGATGCTTAACTCTTGATATTTTAAAAAATTAGTATTTATTATGCATGTATGTAAGTGCACCTGTACATGCAATGCCCATGGAGTCCAGGCCAGAAAAGGGCATCCGATCACTTCGGACAGGAGTTACCAACAGGTGTTAGCTACCATGTGGGTGCTGGGATTCAAACCCGGGTCTCCTGCAAGAACAACCAGTGTTCTTAACCACTGAGCAATCTCTCCAGCCCCAACTCTTAATATTTTAACTTATAATATTTATATCTAGGATAATTGTGTATGCCATATAAACAATATAAATTTTTTGTTTATTATTTGTGTATGTGTATGATATGTGCATATGAATGAGGGTGTACACATATCACGGTGCACATGTAGAGGTCAGAGGACAACCCTTGAGAGTCAGTTCTCTCCTTCTACTTGGGGCTCAAATTCAGGTTGTTAGACTTGTATGGCAGCCACTTTTACTGCTGAGCCTTCCTGCCAGTACAGTTTTGTGATTCTATTTGAGATGGGGTGTTTTGGAGCCCAGGTTGGCTTCAAATTCATTATGTAGGCAAGGATGATCTTGAATTCCTAATCCCATGTCTCCATCTCCCAAATGCTGAGATTACAGGTGTGCAATACCACACGGCTAGGAAAAGTTTTAAATTCCAAAGCACTCATTTCTTTGGTGTTTTTGAGAACATGCACTTCATCCTAGTTTGCCTTGGGCATTCATCTGCAGAAATAGGGCAGAAGCAGTGTGAAGCTTACATATGCTCCCAGAATGAGTGACAGATGGGTGGAATGTATAGGGATGGTGCCTGTCCTGTCTGCTAGCTATGATATATTGGTCTGTGGCATGGTAACCCTTACCTGAAGAATCACAGAACAACATGCTGGTCTCAAATATTGAAACTGGGACTGACAAAACCTGGGTCATTCTCCCCTCAACTCCTTCTGGCTTCTAACACAGACTCAACCATATCCTCTGCTATCCCAGTTGCTATCCCAGAAAGCCATGCTCATCCCTTCAGGCTACAAGGTCCCTCATGGCAGGCCCATGACTCCCAGCTCCATGCCTAGATCACGTGGGAAGTAAGGGATTTGTGACCTCTATCCGTGCTACCTCAGCCCCTTATGTTATGCTGCCTTCTCAGTGCATCCTGGGCCTTTTGAGAAGGAGCTTCCTTTCAGGATCAGAATGGAAGTAAGAATACTTTCTCTTCTTTCCATGCTCCCCAATTAATTGTCCCCCAACTTCCCTCTCCAGACTAAAGAAAAAATAATAAGGATACATATCTTGCAGTTCTGATGATCTCTAGCTCTGTTCCTTTTTCCCAGAATTCCCTAGGAACAAATAATATGGGCTTTTACCCCTTCACTTTTTTTCTTGAACCACCCTCACATGACTCCACCCCTCGAAAGGTATACCAGAGGAAAGTGAGGAATATAGACAGTCTTTATATTAAAAATTACATTTATTTGGGACTGGAGTGCTTAAGAGCACTGACTGCTCTTGCAGAGGACCCAGGTTCAATTCTCAGCACCCACATGGTGGCTGACTGTCCATAACTCCAGTTCCAGGGGAATCACATACCCTCTTCTGACCTCTGCAGGCATGGGTACACTTATATACACATGCAGGTAATACACTCATGCACATAAAATAAAAAATAAAATTGCACTTATTCATAATTTTTCAAAAATTTTGTTTATTTCATTATTATTAGTGTGACATGGAAGGGAACTCGTGTCATGGCATGTACATGGAAGGCAGAGGACAACTTGTGGGAGTTGGTTCCCTTCTTCCATCATGTGGGTTCCAGGGACTGAACTCAGATTCAGGCTTGTTGGCAAGGGTCTTTATGCACTGAGCCATCTTTCAGGCCTGGATGTAGGTATTTTTATATGTCAATGCAATAATCTAATTTGCAAGGCTACTTTCCCACTGGATAATCCTATTTTTGTATTTATTTTTATTTTGTGAGTGTTTTGTTTACACATATGTAAGTGCTCCAATATTCATGCCCTGCTCACAGAGGCCAGAAGAGGACGTTAGATGCCTTGGAACTGGAGTTATGACCAGTTGTTAGCTGCCATGTGGGTGTTAGGAGCTGAACCTGTGTCTTCTGCAAGAGCAGCCAGTGTCCTTAACCATCGAGCCATCTCTCCAGCCCCTGGGTAATCATATTTTAACTGCCAGACAATGAACATTAATTCTTTCTGTTTTTTCATCTATTCTTGTTCAAAGACATAGAAGCCTCCAACTGGCTGAGATGAAGTTCAGGTCTTTGAGGCAAAAGAGGAAAACAACATTTTAATAATTATCTCCACAACACTAACCTATATAGTGGCTATTGAATAACACATACCATAAATACATCCAAAGATGAGCAGCTACCAGCACTCACAGTCATATCTTTGGATGTGATCAGAAGGAAGGAGAGGAAATGCGCTCAATCAACAACTACCCCAAGATGCACGGAGCCAAAGATAGTATATACAAGAAATTCATCCAACAAGGGACTGATATGCAGGATATGTAAGGAACTCAACTTTAAATGAGCAATGAATTGGATAGGCACGTGTGTTCACTGTTTTCCTTGTTGCTGTGATGAAATATTTGACCAAAGCTACTTAAGGAAGAAAGGTTTATTTGGGCTCACAGTTTAAAGAGAAGTCAGTCATGGTGAAGAAGGCACAGCAGCAGGAACTTGAAGAGCTGGTCACATTGCAGCCACAGTCAGGAAGTAGAGAGGTGAATGCTGGTGCTCGGCTCATTTTCTCCTTTTTATTCGTTCAGGACCTGGGCCCAGGGAATAATGCCACCTGCATTTAGGGCGGGTCTTTCCGTCTCAGTTAACCTAATCTAGAATTTCCCTCACAGATGTGCCCAGAGGTTTGTCTCCAAGGTGATTCTCCATCCTGTCAGGTTGACAATATGTCTTAAAAGAGGATGTACCAGTGACAAACAACTATATGAAAAAATATTCAACATCATCAGTCATCAGAGAAATGGAAATCAAAAACACAGTGATTTATCATCTCACCCTAGTTATTATCAATATAAAAAATGTTGGTCAAAGATGCAAGGAAAGGGGAATTCTCAGAGACTGGTGGGGACAATGTACAGTAGTTCAGTCTTTATGGAAAGTAGTGTGGAGGTTCTCCTCCCAAATAGAGATGGAACTTATATATGGTCTAACAATCTTATTCCTGGGTATATAGCAAAAGGAATTGAAGACAATATGTGGAAAAGGAATCTGTGTGTATGTTCACTGCAGTTGTGTGGTATTCTTAATACTCAGGGCATAGAAAGAATCAACCTGTATGGCTATATGGATAGAGGAAGGACCATATGCATATACAATGGAATATTATTCAGCCACAGTATGAATGAAATCCTGACATTGGCAATGTGGAAGGGACAACAGCATATCATGTTAAGTGATATAATTCAGTTACAGAAAGACAAATATTACATATTCTCACTGATATGTGAAAGCTAAAAAATCAATGTCCTAGAAGTATAGAATAGATTACTGGTTACCAGGACCAGGAAAGGGTGCTGGGAAGGGAAGTGGAGAGAGGATGGTTTGTGGGTGCAAGACTACCTTTGAATGCTAGGGATAACATCAAAAGTTCTATAGCCAGGAAGAACAACTGTGATTGACAACAATTAATTAATTGCTAACTCAAGGCAACTAGTAGAAAAGATCCTGAATGTTATCAACTCAAAGACATGCTAATTGTCAGAGATTATGAGCGCATCAATTAATCTGATTATTAGGTTTATATACGTGTTTTGAAATGTTATCCCTTTCTCCAACATAATAGCACACTTACAATGTGCCCATTAAAAATATTGTGGGGCTGGAGAGGTGTTCAGTGGATAAAATGCTTGCTATACAAACATGAGGACCAGAGTTCAGATCCCCCAAATCCACGTAAATGCTGGGTGAGAGTGGCAGCCTGCTTATAATTCCAGCACTTGAAAAGTAGAGATGGGATCCTTGGAGCAAACGCCACCAGTATTTGACTAGCCAGACTGGTCATTAATGGTGAACCCTGGGTTCAAATGCAAGATTATGTCTCAATGAACAAGGTGTGACCGGTCAGTGAGATGGTTCAGTGGGTAAAGACACCTGCCATTAAGTCTGATGACCTGAGTTTGATCACTGGCACTCCCATGGTGGAAAGAGAGAACCAATTCCTGCAAATTGTTCTCTGACTTCTACACGTGCACCACATTCACATACACATACACACTTACATTACCCCCCCACACTCATATATACATACACTCATAAATACACACACGCACACAAATAAAGAAATAAATATTAAAACTTTTTAAAAAAGATGGAAAGTGATCAGGAAGACTTCCAATGTCAACTTCAGGCACACCCACATGTTCACACAGGGGCATGCACACACCTATGTGCCTACATACATGTGATAATGCTTATGCATATGCACGTACATTACATACATACAATAAAACAAAAAAAAACAAATAAAATAAAAAAGCA